AGGACCGGATTCCGTTCCATTCCGTTCCTGTCAGTCCTGCGGAACATTCCGGTGTCAATTCCGGAATGCCCAAATTCCGCCGGAATGGTAAGGCACCGGAATGACAAAAATAGCAGGCCTCCCTGCCAAATTTCATTCCTCTGGAATCCACCGGAATCCGCAGGAATGACTGGATTCCTGCAGGAATTAGGGGGGCACTGATAAGACCTCGCCCAGCCTATAAGAAGTTTTCTAAAGAAGATATAGATGGTCTTCTTCAGTATCTGGGGATAGATATACAACTTCCCCTAGCTTCCTCTTGTCTCTAGGGCTGCTATCAGAAGCATTGTGCTATGATCAATGCTACTGATAAATTATTGAAACTGGGTCGAGATTCTGAGTGGCTTGCCTTGGACGAGAAACAATGGGTTCCATCTCTCAAAGACTTTATTGAGATATTTGTAGCAAAGACACAGTACTATGGGACTTGGAAGAAAGCATTTGATGATGCTGTTAGATTTCCTGTGATGCAGGACTGGCTGGCTCTGGAGGATGATCGAAAGTCGGATAGGGCTGTCTGGGGTGAAGAGAAAGGGTCATACAGCTTTGAGGACTTGAAGGATTATATTCAGAAGAAGAAACAGGAAAGGGAGATAGCTGAAAGAGCAGCTGCATTACAGGCATCAGGATCACGTGCAGAGAGTAGGGAGTCATCTCATAGGAAAGGCAAGAAGAAGAGCAAGAGGTCCAAGACAGATAGCTCAGAGTAAGTATGGGTATTGTTCTCTCTCCTTCATTGATTGCAATTGTAATTGTTACTTGTATCACTGGATGCAAGCTACATTAACTTAAACAAAAAAATTGTAAAAAGATTGTAAAAAGATTCCAAATAATTTTATAGTAACAATGTCTAAAATATTGTAAAATTATTGTGATTTTTTATTTATTTGTGATTCACTTTTCTTTCCAAAAAGAAACTTAGAAAAATATTGGAAAGAAATTTTTATCAGCCAACAGAGATGTAAGCAATATATTTTTGGAGATATTTTCAACATATTTTGTGTATAAATATTCTATTTACAGAACCCACAATTTCTTTAAAATAATCTCACCGAAGTTGGTGTTCAAGAAATTGTGAAGTATTTCTGATAATTGAAAAAGGTTTGTTTACAGTAATTTTGACGATGTTATAGTGCAAGAAATTCTGATTTTGTATTCTCTTATTATTTGTTTCCTCTCCACTATATTGATGCATATATATGCAGAGAGATGGTTACTCAACCCAATGGTTTCAGTAATAGCTGCCAACTTTTTATTGTGTAGAATAACTTTCACAGTAACTTTGACAAAGTTATTGTGAAAAAATTCTATCCACCATTCATCTTCTCTTACCCATCTTCTAGTATTGATTTATGTTATCTCTGGTGTGTCACTCAATTTCAGTGTTGTAACTACATGATCAAGTGAACCTGCATGGTTTTTTCATGATATCTTTGACAAGGTTATTTAAAAAGAAATTTTGATGCAGACATATTTTGCTGTAATCTGGCTTGTTATTTACTGTCATCCATGAGATCAAGCCCAATTGCTAATTACACTGCAGGCAATGCTCAACTCAAGCATTTTTATTTTCATTACAATTGTTTTACAATAAGTTTGAGGCAAATAGCATTGACAATTTTTTGGGATGTTGGCTGCATGTTTACAGATACTCATGCTGCATGATGCTAATGACAAAAATGATCATGATCATGATGGTGACAACGACGATGGCAATGCCACAGCCACACACATGCACTCTTGAATAACAATGGGAAGCTTCAGTGGGACTTGCAGGTACAAAGATATGGAACATTAAAAATTGACACAGCTGCATGATGTTAATAGCAAAAATGATGATGATGGCGATGATGATGACGATGACGATGACGACGACGATGATGGCACAGCCACAGACATGCACTCTTGAATAAAAAAGGGAAGCTTCAGTGGCACTTGCGGATACAAAGACATGAATTATTGAAAATTGACACAGCCGCATGATGTTAATGGCAAAAATAATCATCATGACAATGGCAATGACGACGACAATGACGACGACGACAATGACGATGTCACAGCCACAGACATGCACTCTTGAATAAAAACAGGAAGCTTCAGTGGCACTTGCAGGTACAAAGACATGAAATATTCAGCCCTAACTGTAACCATTGACCAAATTGTGCTAGACCTGCCCACTTTTCTCTATTGCATAGAGCATGGATATGTCCACTTGCGAAATAGCAAAAGTTTCCATCACCTGTTTCCACTCCAAAAATGTTTCTAAATGTCCACCTATAATAAAATATACCCCTAGGATACATGAGAAACATAGTGCAAGATCCCAAACTGGGATAGCAAGAGCAAGTGCGACACCTTTTCCAGGCTGGAATATTGCGGGGGCAGGTTAATAAATATGTAGGGTAATACTCTTTGTTGTAATTACATTTTACCCTTTCCACAAAGAGGAAAGTCATTGAAAAAATTTGAATATTCCCACTCGGAATATTTAAACAGATCCGAACAAAGAGTCCTTTCTCAGAAATTTCATTCTTTCCGGCCCCTTTTCACAGCATGTTGACAGCATGTATCAATTTTCCATGGCATCTGAAAACAAAGGATCCCTTTCCTTCAGCTTTCCTCTTGATCTTACTCAATTGTTCAACTTTTACTACAGTATCACAAACAGGAAAATCTTTTAAATATTTCAGCTTTTGTTCGCCCTTTACCAGCTCAGAAAAGGCAAAGCAACTTTCTTGGCCCGGATTTTTTTAAATCCCATGCCTTTCCCCACCAGAAAAAAATTAAATATAATCAGGATGCTCCTGGGAAGAAAAAGTGTCGCACTTTCTCAAGATATCCTGATCGGTGATGTTGGGCAATGTTTCTCGTGATAGGTTTTCTGAAAGAATATGGTTCTATAGCATCTATTTTTAGTCTCAGTTTCTTTCTGAATGTTTGTGATTTATTACAAATCTAAACTTAGCTCAGATGTGTTTTATGATTAAAAATGAAACATCCTGGATCAGTATTGATGACTGGTATGTTTTCCTGTATATTTTCTTTTCTCAAAGAGCATCCAGATATGTAGGCACGGTTATTCATCCTTTCCACTTGTATATTTACCAAAACATAAACATGTTAGTACTCTAAAAGTAAAAGGTAGCCCAGTTTTTCATGGTGCCCTTGCAAGTGGATGGATGCCTCATTGTGAACTTGGATGATGAGTTCAAAGCTGTAGACAAATAGATGCAAACTTCCCAAAAACATTGAAAACATTGGAAAAACAACTGAAATTGAGCCAGCAGAGGAAGGGAACACTACACTGACATTAGTAATACATAGCAGCATGTTTGATTTACAACATTGGGCTTGAACTCTTATCAGAAGTTGGCTAAAAGTTGTGGAGAAGGGTGTATATCTGTCTCCAAATGTCAAAAACATATCATTCCAGCAACTTGTAGAGGTCTTATCAGTGCCCCCCTAATTCCTGCAGGAATCCGGTCATTCCTGCGGATTCCGGTGGATTCCGGAGGAATGAAATTTGGCAGGGAGGCCTGCCATTTTCATCATTCCGGTGCCTTACCAATCCGGCGGAATTTGGGCATTCCGGAATTAACACCGGAATGATCCGCGGAATGCACAGGAACGGAATGCAACGGAATCTGGTCCTTTGTTTGTTTATTTTACTTGTGTTACCAAACAAAGGCAACATTACCAAACAAATGCAACACCATTCCTTTCCACCACCACCACCCATCCTCTTCCCCACCCCCACGACAGTCACGATAAACCGACGACGCCACGCCACCCACGACGACAACAACAACCCCACATGACCCCACAACGGCGACGACCACCAAGAACAGCGACAACCACCGCCAGTGACGTGGCAACCAAATGGACAACAACAACAACACCACCGCTATGCACGAGCACCCACCACCATCCAGACGGCATCCACCACGATGACCACGTGAACGCCACAACGCCACGTCACAAATCAAACAAGCCCCCCACGGCAGGATGGCAACGATGCCCACGACAACAACAACGTCCACGGCTACAACGACAACACGCAACAACGACAACACGACAACGACAACGCGACAACGGCCACGCGACAACGACCATGCGACAACGACAATGCGACAACGTCCACGCGACGACGTCCACAACTACGACGACGGCACACGACGACGTCCACGCAACGACGACAACACGACGATGACCACACGACGACGACAACGCGACGATGACCACGCGACGACACAGGATGACAACGTCGATGGACGACGAGGCCCAGCACTACCCCCTTCCCCTTTATTATCACACCCCCACACCACTCCCTGTCCCTTCCCTCCCTCCCTTCCTTCCTCCCTCCCTTCCTTCCTCCCTCCCTCCCTTCCCTTCCCTCCCTCCTCCCTTCCTTCCTCCCTTCCTTCCTTCCTTCCTCCCTCCCTCCCTCCCTCCCTTCCTTCCTCCCTTCCTTTTTCCTTCCCTTTCTTCCTCCCTCCCTTCCTTCCCTTTCTTCCTCCCTCCCTTCCTTCCCTCCCTTCCTTCCTTCCTCTCCCCCTCCACCCTTCTCTTCCTGCCCCTTCATTTACCTTAGAAAATAGTAAATTAGATGTATATTTGAGTTTCAATATATAAAATTTGAAATATATAAATGTTATAAGAAAGTATTCATGCCCTTTAAGTCAGTGTGAATAAGTGCATATTAGTGTAAATGTATCTAGCAAAAAGCAAAGGTGTTGTATGGGTCATATTCTGGTCCCATTCCTGTGGATTCCTGCAGATTCCGGTGCCATTCCTCTGGATTCCTGTGGATTCTGGTGCCATTCCTGCGGATTCCTGTGGATTCCTGTGGATTCCTGCAGGAATGGGTGGGGCACTGTAAAGTACTGAACTTGTAAGCTAATTCATGCCAGCTATAGCCTACCAGCATTCAGTGCATAAGTAAAAGAATATCAGGACAGGCAGTTTCAGATTTTGAGTGAAAGAACACACCTGAAAGTCTTGTTCCATCTTTTTTAATTTTTAGGAGGGTTACAAAACATAGAATTGTGCTGGGAAATCTTGCTCTGCCTGCCCAATTTTGAGGGAATCAGATTTAACTCTTCCTAGCTAAAGGTGGATAGTCATATAAAATTTGAGAGTACTGTATTCACTTTGATAATGAAGGATTTGTTATGAAAGTCACTGAACAGGGTGTTTTTCTTGTGACGTTAACTATACTGTGTCTACTAAAACCATCCAATGGTCATGGAAATTAGATAGGAATCTTCAGAGTCAGAAACTGAATGGATTCACAAGTTTCTATGGAAATCAGAGGCTTGTGGAGATACAGGTAATGGGATAGGTGTAGATGGGTCACAATAAAGCAACTGAAAGTGCCGGAATCTCAGCTGTAGAATGGAATTCTTGTGACTTTTACTCCCTGCTCAATAAATACAGGGTGCTACCTATCTCAAATGTTAGTTCTATTCCTTAGAAGCTTTAAATACACTTTTTCATATTTTTCCACCCTCAAGAATGAGTGCGTGCAGTGTTTCTTCAGCATTCAGCATTTTCCGAGCATTGTTAATATATGGTGAGCAGCCACTTCAACCTCTCTGCCACACCCCATTATGTCCATTCCACATTCAACTTGCCCTTCCATTCAACAACTCGCCTTTCCATTTGGTGGCTTGTCCTTTCATTCCACAGTCCACTCGCCCTTTTGTTCCGCTCAAGTTGTCATCTGGGGGGTCTTGTCATTTAGGAGTCCACCTTGGGTATGTTCGATACATGTGAACTTTCGTATAGTGAGTTTTTCGTACAGGGCACCCTGTCAGATCTAACTCAGTATGGCAGAACAGTTGTCACTGGATCTGGTCCTGCAGATGCTTGGCCAGAGGAGACTCCCAAGGCTCCCAAACTTCCTACAACGAGCCAGCCACTTTTTCTTCCAACCACATCTTGCCCTGCCATCAGTGCAATGGTAAGTTACATTCCCTATTCTTAGACATAAAGCTCAATTTTGTGATTTGTGAATAGTAACCAGCTTCACTGGCCTCAGCTTCAACTCCTCCAGCTTGTGTTTCACCTGTATTTACTGCTTCACGAGCTTCGCCTCCACCTTGTAGCCAATGGTGCTATCACCAAATGCCTGATGTGGTATGCAAATGGTCATTCTGGGGCCCAGGCATGCCACGTTGTCAACAACTTTCAAATCGACGATGCCCATGACGCCGGGACCCCATAACAACTGCCCTTCCTCAATGATGGCTGTTGATGATGGCAAATATATTTTTAGATGAGTATGCTTATCCCTTTCTTCTTTTCGCTTTGGCCATTCTCACCTACCACCAGTACTACAACACTCGAACAACAACGGGCCACAAATGCCCACCACCCATGGATGGCGACTTGTAGTGTTCACCAAGGGTATGCCAACCCGCACGGGTTTTCAAGGCAGGTAGAGATGGGTATGGGTGCGGGTCAGCATTTGAGTACCTGTGGTGCAACCCGTACCCTTGTTGAGGGTTTTGGAGGGTTTCAGCACAACAGCATGGCAGCTGCATGTGCCGAAACAGAAATGTAAATAAATACTATGTACAGTTTCAAACCTTAAATCCACATCAAGTACACACTTGCGCACTCTGAAAAAAGTTCACATCAGTGCCAGAACCTCCTGCAAAAAAGTCTTCCTCAGGCAGAATCATCAGTGCCACAAAGCAAAAGCTTACTGCTCCGATTTCCACGTTTGTTAAGGCCGTTCGCCCCCAAAAGAAGGCCAAGGTTACCAAGTCATTAGATGTGGCATCTTCAGCCCAGGAGATGGGCGCAGCGTCTTCAGTTCAAGAACGGCAATCTACGCCATCTGTAACTTCTCGCCACAGGGTTATTATTAGTGACGAAGAAGATCATGAGGAAAGTTCTCACCGTGGTCAAACACTGGATCCCAACAGCGACGTGATTCTGATATCGGATGATGAAGAGATTGCTGCTGAAAAGCAATTGGGTAAGTGACAAGATGTTTCTGAGACTGGAAACTTACCGAAATGACCTTTGCCAGCACGCCTATCCAAGGAATGGACTGCTGGTGTTTATGGGTTCTTCAAGCCTGATCCCATCATTGAGTATGCAGGTGGACGACGTGCTCACACCTTCATCTGTGTGGCAACTCATTGCCGCGGTGCCTGCTGTAAAATGCTGGGGTGAAGAAAATGTCGACGCTGCCCGTGGACGTCCTGTTGATGAAATCTGTGAGGCAACAAAAGGCATCACACCATCTGGATCGATAACCGCGGCATTTGAACGTAAGGGGAAAGGGAAAATTACTTATTCACATCGTCAGCACACCCGAACGGAAACTAGGTATTTCTTTAACTCACCATGGGGGAGAATGGTACTGAAAAAATGAAACAGGGCCGAGATAGTCTGTTGGGTAGCTGAGAGTTCACGGCCCTTGAATACCCTCAAGGATCGTGGGTTCCAGAGCTTGATGAAGACTGGATGCCCGGAGTACTGGCTCCTGTCACCAAGTACCTCTGCACGAGATGTCAAGTTGGTGTTTGTGAAGACTCGAAATCGGGTTGCTAGAATTCTCCAGGTCAGTTGGCATGACGGTATATAAGATGTAGTCTCACCTGCTTCAAGGAACACCCAGGGACCCTCAGCTTTGCTACTGACGCGTGGTCTTCTCCCAACCATAAGGCCTACATTGCGGTTACTGTCCACCTCGAGCAAGATGGTGTTCCGCTTTCGATGCTCCTCGACATCGTCGAGGTCCCTCGCTCGCATTCTGGCTTGAACCTGGCAAAGGCATTTGCAACTATCCTGGAAGACTTCAAAATTTCGGACAAGGTAAGCAGGGTTCTTATATCACAGAATTCAAACATACCTTCCTTCCAGATCCTCAGCATCACATGCGACAACGCGTCCAATAATGGCATGATGATCCTCGAGCTTTCGAAGCTCGCTCCCACCTTTCCCGGTGAATCCAACTTGATTCGATGCTTCAACCATGTCCTCAGCCTCGTCGCAAAGACCGCCATTCATGTGTTTGACATCCCTGAAGTTAATAAGGATGAAGTCTTGGACAATGCGACCGCCGAGCTGCTGGAACTGGCAAAAAACCTCGATCTTGAGGAGCTTGAGGCTCAGGAAGCACGATTGGACAGCGATGGCGACGGCAATAACGAAGGTGGGCAGGCGGACAGCACAGATGGATGGATTGACGAGCACCTTGAGCTATTGGATGTTGAGCGCTAGGAACTGGATGTTGAGCGCGAGGAACTGGATGTTGAGCGCGAGGAACTGGATGACAGCATCCTCCCAGTTCGGCTGCTACTAGTCAAGGTACGTTCAGTTTTTGTATCGGAAATGGATAGACAAAGACTTACCAGAATTCTACAGCTGCATAAGTTCTCCTATGCAATTATAAACTCCACCACTCTGCTGTTGCCGAAGTGGTTTTCGACATTGAAAGACCTGGGTCTGGATGAACGTGCGATGCCCCAAGACGTTTCGACATGTTGGAACTCAACCTATGACATGTTAAAGTTTGCAATCGACTATCGAAAGGCGATTGACAGACTTACTGGTGACAAGAACCTTGGTCTTCGGCAATACGAGCTTGACGACGATGAGTGGGAGATCGCGCAACAGTTGTCTTCGTTGTTGATGGTGAGCTGACATCAACAATCCATGGGACAGCTTACTAATCATTTCACAGATATTCAAAGACGCGACATTGTTCTTTTCACGCTCGATGCCCAACATCCCCACTGTCCTTCCAGCCACGGACCACATCGATGAGTGGCTGACAACTGCCTCTGTCAACTCAAAGCTTCCCACACCCATCCGTGCAGCCGCCAGTCTGTCCAAAAAAACCCTAAACCGCTACTATGAACGTTCTGATTGCTCCAAGGTCTATCGCATCGCAATGGGTATGTATTTCGGTTCTATGTATCTATTTATTCATACATTAACTTTCCTTAAACTAGTTCTTGATCCACGTTGTAAACTAGAATACTTCAAAACGGCAAAATGGGAGAAAGAATGGATTGACGAAGCAGAACGGCTCACCAGGCAGGAGTACATCAACTCCTACAGGGATCTGGAAGTTGAAACTTCAGAACCGAGCATGGTTCTTGCTGCTCAGGCTGAGAAGCAGGTAAGTGCTTCCTGATCAGAATCAATAATACTAAACCCAGTTCCAGAGCGCCTCGACATCAACCAACATGTTCGACTCTCTTCCCGCATTCTCAGGAACCGTGTCTTTCACCAACCTTGACGAACTTTTGCGATACCTTTCTGAAGACGTTGTTTCGATGAAACCACACAAGACACTTGCATGGTGGGCATCCAAGAAAACAGTCTACCCTCGCCTCTCCCGAATGGCACTTGACTATCTTTCTATCCCTGGTGCATAATTTATCTGTTAAACACAGACTGTGACATTACTGATGTACTCAATAGCTACCTCCACCGACGTCGAACGTGTTTTTAGCTGTGGCCGTATACTTTTGTCTCATCTCCGCAACCACATGTCTGCTCAAACAACCCGTTCGCTCATGTGTCTCCAGGCTTGGAGCCTTCTTGGCTACATCAAGAATAAAGATGTACTTTCTGTTACACAGCTGCCGGAGACTGATGGTGAGGATGATGAGGACTTGGAAGATGGATGGGATCATATTGATGTGTAAAGTATTTTCAAACTGTTGTACATGTTGTTCTCGTAGATTATGACCTGTCAGACCTGTTGGACCCGCACAACCCACACAACCCATGTAAGACCCGTGCAACCCGTGTACAAATCCGCACCCGCACCCTGACCCGGCTCTTGGGTAGGGGTATTTGCAGGTGTGGGTATGGGTCAACACATTAGCACCTGCGGGTTACCCATGGTGATCACTAGTGACTTGTCTTTGTACCCACAAGGGCCACTAACACTTCCCATTTTTGTTCAAGAGTGCATGTCCATGGCTGTGCCATCGTTGTCATTGTCATCATCGCCATCTTCATGATGATCATTTTTGCCATTAACATCATGCGGCTGTGTCAATTTTCAATATTTCATGTCTTTGTACCCGCAAGTGCCACTGAAGCTTCCCTTTTTTATTCAAGAGTGCATGTCTGTGGCTGTGCCATCGTTGTCGTTGTCGTCATCGTCATCGTCGTCGCATGATGATCATTTTTGTCATTAACATCATGCGGCTGTGTCAATTTTCAATATTTCATGTCTTTGTACCCGCAAGTGCCACTGAAGCTTCCCTTTTTTATTCAAGAGTGCATGTCTGTGGCTGTGCCATCGTTGTCGTTGTCGTCATCGTCATCTCGTCGCATGATGATCATTTTTGTCATTAACATCATGCGGCTGTGTCAATTTTCAATATTTCATGTCTTTGTATCCGCAAGTGCCACTGAAGCTTCCCGTTTTTATTCAAGAGTGCATGTCTGTGGCTGTGACATCGTCGTCGTCATTGTCGTCACCATCGCATGATGATCATTTTTGTCATTAACATCATGCGGCTGTGTCAATTTGCAATATTTCATGTCTTTGTACCGCAAGTGCCACTGAAGCTTCCTGTTTTTATTCAAGAGTGCATGTCTGTGGCTGTGCCATTGTCGTCGTCATTGCCATCGTCATGATGATTATTTTTGCCATTAACATCATGCGGCTGTGTCAATTTTCAATAATTCATGTCTTTGTATCCGCAAGTGCCACTGAAGCTTCCGTTGTTTATTCAAGAGTGCATGTCTGTGGCTGTGCCATCATCGTCGTCGTCATTGCCATCTCGTCATCATGATTATTTTTGCCATTAACATCATGCGGCTGTGTCAATTTTCAATAATTCATGTCTTTGTATCCGCAAGTGCCACTGAAGCTTCCCTTGTTTATTCAAGAGTGCATGTCTGTGGCTGTGCCATCATCGTCGTCGTCGTCGTCATTGTCACATCATCGCCATGATGATCATTTTTGCCATTAACATCATGCGGCTGTGTCAATTTTCAATATTCATGTCTTTGTATCCGCAAGTGCCACTGAAGCTTCCCTTTGTTATTCAAGAGTGCATGTGTGTGGCTGTGCCATTGTCGTCATCGTCGTTGTCACCATCATGATCATGATCATTTTTGTCATTAGCATCATGCAGCATGAGTATCTGTAAACATGCAGCCAACATCCCAAAAAATTGTCAATGCTATTTGCCTCAAACTTATTGTAAAACAATTGTAATGAAAATAAAAATGCTTGAG